TGACAGGCAAGTTACAAAGAGAGATATATACCTAGTACAGTTTGGATTTCACTGGAAAGAGGAAATTCCATTCTTACTGAGGTCTTGCCATGAGAAGACACCTGATAATTGATCAGAAGCACTCCAGGACAACTTTGTCACATACCATTCTGAACCTTTTAGAGGTAGATACTGCTAATTTTCTCAAACAACAGTCTTAACAATGGGAGTACCCTGGTTTACCCCTGCCAAAGAAGGCAAAGACTGTTCCATCATCTGGAAACGTTATAGTCTTAGTTTTCTGGGATGCTGATGGTAATCTGATGGTAGATTATCTGCAAAAAGGACAAACAATCAATGGCACATATCATGCATCACTTCTTTGGAAGTTAAGAGAAAATACTAAACTCCTGTGCCACAGTAAACTCAGAAAAGGTTTGTTGTTCCACAATGTTCTTGTTAATAATTCTATCATTACCATGGCTGCCATAAATGATCGTGGCATTGAATTGATTTAGCACCAGACTTATTTGCCTGATCTCCCTCCATCAGACTTTCATCTATTACCAAGATTAAAAAGGGCAGTTTCTGGTACCTGCCATCGGTCAGGTGATCATGTCATTTATGCAGTTGAGGACTATCTGAACGGTCAAGAAAAGGGCTTCTTTAAACATTGCATTGAGGCAAAAGTGTATAGATACTGAAGGGGATTATGGTGTAAAACAACACAATATGTCATCTGCCAAAGTCAAACCCTTAAATATGAGGCTCATAACTTATCAATCAGCCCACATAGCAGATTTCATTTAGAACCGCCCCCCCCCCCCCCCCCCCCCCCCCCCCCCCCCCCCCACCAACCCAACCCCCCCACCCCCCACCAACACACAAATAAAATAGCAGATTATTGCATGGCAGATTTCATTTAGAACCTCCCCCCCCCCACCCAACACACACACACACAAATAAAATAACAGATTATTGCATGGCAGATTTCATTTAGAACCTCCCCCCCCCCACCCAACACACACACACACAAATAAAATAGCAGATTATTGCATGGCAGATTTCATTTAGAACCTCCCCCCCCCACCCAACACACACACACACAAATAAAATAACAGATTATTGCATGGCAGATTTCATTTAGAACCCCCCCCCCCACCCAACACACACACACACAAATAAAATAACAGATTATTGCATGGCAGATTTCATTCAGCTGGAAGCATTTAGAAGAAAAGCAGATCAGAATAGCAAATTTCAGCTAAAAACAAATATCAGACATTCTGCCAGAACAACACAGACATGGTAATGTAATAATTATAATGATATTCTGTGTTCTGTGTTCCCGATACATTCAGAGATGTTGCCATATTACATTAGTAAAGAGCCTGTGTGTACAGGTTCCTTGGGAATTTAACAGCTAGCAAACCCTATTAAACCCTATTACAAAGAATTACAAACAAAATTTTAATCATAAGCTCTCTATATGGTAAAGGTAGACAACTCTTACTGGAATTGAGGTTTGTCAACAATAACATCCGGTCAGATGTCAATCCTTAATCATTCTATATCCATGCTGTGTAGAAGTCAACTGCTATCAACTTTCTTTGGTGAACTTTAAGATGAAGACAAACTAACATGTATTTGATTCTTTTGTTAATGTTAGAGGCAGTATATTACCAACATTGGCAAGGCAGTCTGTAAGATTAAGACAGGAGGATACAACATAAGATAGATTAAACACGGTAATCCATTCAAAACATTTCTTGTCTATTATCACTCTGTAACTTAAATAGTTAGTAGAACTCAAAATAAATAAATCATCAAACTTTTCATTGATTGGAGTATTCTTTGTATCCATCAATACCTTTTAATTTGTCTTGCATTGTCATTATCAATTATAAAGAAACTCTGCACGTAGTTGTCAAAATAATTTACTTAAAATAAAAAAAAACACATGCAGAAAGATCCATCTTTTAAAAATAAAACATTTTGAGAAGCGGAGCAAAGCAATGGAGCATTCAAATATCCTGCCAAAGAATCAACTGCCACAGACCTTTAATATATCTCAGATCATGAGCCCTGAGTCTGGTAGACTTTCACCTCCTAGTCATTAGAATTGTCAGCCAACACCCAACTACTATTTACTTACATGTCAATTTTACATACAGCTGTCAGAAAAATATTTCTCCTTGTATCATATCCAGATCAAACTGAGAGTCTGTATCCCAGGTTGTATATAGGTCAGACAGTTTTCATTTCAGACTTGGAGCGTACTCAATAAAGAACATACCTTGCATTTCTGAGTATGATTCAAATATTCTTTTTTTCGAAGGTGTTTTATTGATAACAAGAGACCCAATGAGCCTGAATCGCTTCTAAAGAAGACTGTTATTTAGTAAAGTTTTGAAAATATGAAAGCTCATTCCCAAAAATGCTAAGACACTAACAGCAGGATTGGTTGGCTTGTTTATCACAGTAAGAAGCTTGAAGTTCTTAACATTTGATCTGAGGAAATTTGAAAATTGATCAAGGTATTTGAATAAACCTAATTACGAAGAAATCATCAGAAAATTTTGACACATTTGACCTCTGTGACCTTGAAAGTAGGTAAGGGTCATTCATTTGAAAAATCTGGTAGTCCTTCATGCAAATTTGCAACTGATCAAATATCATCATCCCACCACACCATACAGTCATCATCCCACCAAACCATACAGTTACTACCCCACCACACCATACAGTCATCATCCCACCACACCATACAGTCATCATCCCACCACACCATACAGTTACTACCCCACCACACCATACAGTCATCATCCCACCACACCATACAGTTACTACCCCACCAAACCATACAGTCATCATCCCACCACACCATACAGTCATCATCCCACCACACCATACAGTCATCATCCCAACACACCATACAGTCATCATCCGACCAAACCATACAGTCATCATCCCACCAAACCATACAGTCATCATCCCACCACACCATACAGTCATCATCCCACCACACCATACAGTCATCATCCCACCACACCATACAGTCATCATCCCACCACACCATACAGTCATCATCCCACCAAACCATACAGTTACTACCCCACCACACCATACAGTTACTACCCCACCACACCATACAGTCATCATCCCACCACACCATACAGTCATCATCCCACCACACCATACAGTCATCATCCCACCACACCATACAGTCATCATCCCACCACACCATACAGTCATCATCCCACCACACCATACAGTCATCATCCCACCACACCATACAGTCATCATCCCACCACACCATACAGTCATCATCCCACCACACCATACAGTCATCATCCCACCACACCATACAGTCATCATCCCACCAAACCATACAGTTACTACCCCACCACACCATACAGTCATCATCCCACCACACCATACAGTCATCATCACACCACACCATACAGTCATCATCACACCACACCATACAGTCATCATCACACCACACCATACAGTCATCATCCCACCACACCATACAGTCACCATACCCACCCACACCATACAGTCATCATCCCACCACACCATACAGTCATCATCCCCACCACACCATACAGTCATCACAGTCATCATCCCACCACACCATACAGTCATCATCCCACCACACCATACAGTCATCATCCCACCACATACAGTCATCATCCATACAGTCATCATCCATCATCCCACCACACCATACACCATACACCACATTCATCATCCCACCACACCATACAGTCATCATCCCACCACACCATACAGTCATCATCACACCACACCATACAGTCATCATCCCACCAAACCATACAGTCATCAACCCACCACACCATACAGTCATCATCCCACCACACCATACAGTCATCATCCCACCACACCATACAGTCCCACACACCATACAGTCATACAGTCCCCACCACACACACCATACAGTCATCATCCCACCACACCATACAGTCATCATCCCACCACACCATACAGTCATCATCCCACCACACCATACAGTCATCATCCCACCACACCATACAGTCATCATCCCACCACACCATACAGTCATCATCCCACCACACCATACAGTTACTACCCCACCACACCATACAGTCATCATCCCACCACACCATACAGTCATCATCCCACCACACCATACAGTCATACCACACACATACAGTCATCATCCCACCACACCATACATCATCCCACCACACCATACATCATCCCCACCACACCATACCCACCACACCATACAGTCATCATCCCACACACCCACCACACCATACAGTCATCATCCCACCACACCATACAGTCATCATCCCATACAGTTACAGTCATCATCCACCATACACCATACAGTCATCATCCACCACCACACCATACAGTCATCATCCCACCACACCATACAGTCATCATCCACACCATACAGTCATCATCCCACCACACCATACACATCCCACAAACCATCATCACCCATACAGTTACTACCCCACCATCATCCCACCACCATACACACATATCAGTCCCATCATACAGTCATCATCCACCACACCATACAGTCACATCCCACCACACCATACAGTCCATCCTCCAACAAATCAATACAGTCTCCCCACCATACAGTTATTACATAAATGGACACCAGTGTACACAGGATAACCTGTCTTACACCACACAGTCATCACAGGATCCCACCAACACCAGTACACAGTCATCATCCCACCAAATCAACACCAGCATACACAAGATAACCTGTCTTAATCAACACCAGTGTTCACAGGACAATCTGTCTTAATCAACACAAGTATACACAAGATAACCTGTCTTAATCAACACCAGCATACACAAGATAACCTGTCTTAATCAACACCAGCATACACAAGATAACCTGTCTTAATCAACAGCAGTGTTCACAGGATAACCTGTCTTAATCAACAGCAGTGTTCACAGGATAACCTGACAATTCTATATTAATTTGCAATGAAAGTTAAACAAACCTTGTTGTCAGTCACTACTTCTGGACTTGTTACATTTTTAGCAGGCTTTTCTGGAACAGGTTCATCCTCTGCATCCTCCAGCACCTCAGCCTCAGCAGTAGGAGCAGTTTTCTCCCCCTCCTGTGTCATGGTTTTCGTTTAATCCAGCTTCACTTCAACTTCTCCTGTGAAAGAGAAACAAACAACTAAACAATTGTCCTGTCTCAATTTGTTATAAAAACCTTAAATAAAATCAGAGACAATTACCAGCCAACATGCTAGAAAAACAGCTTACTTCCTGTTGTGACTGATGATAGGTCAGAGTAATTCAATTACTGTGGCAATCCATCCATGTCAAAATGGTGAACATCCTATTACGTCCATTAAAACCATTGCTGGTTATACTAAAATGTTTCATGCACTGACTGATATTTTCATATATAGAAATAATACTTTCATTTGAAAGATTCCTGATCTTTATCTTTGAAATATTCCTTTCAAAAGGAAACTTTTTTAAGGTGAATGAAGTAGCCTGCTCAATCTTATCCGTAGTTGCTTTCAACAACAAGTATGTCCTGACGACACCAGCTCTCCATTTCTATATTGTTAATATGAATGTCTTGATCAAGTTGTTCTATATACCTGGAAACAGGAAGGGTCCAATATTCTTGTACACCTTCTCAAAGAAAATGTCAATCACCAGATCAATACAAAATAGATCTCATCACTTCACAACCTTTTTTCCCCCTTTTCCTGAGCTGAGACAAATCTCTACAAAACAGACATGGAGTTGATCGTCTGCACAGGTCACAAAACCTAATGTGAAACGGAACCCGACAAGCGAGTACATTAAAACAGCAGACATTGTTGACAACAACAAGATATACATACCTGAGAGATATTTGTTTACATTACCTGTCCATAAACAAACTATTGTACATATATTTCCTGATAATTTACATAGCATATTTAGTGAAGCAGTGCCAGGAGCTGGTTACCTGGAGGGAGATGGCATCAGCAGCCAGCAGATGCACCTGTATGTCAGTGGACGGTCTGACTCAGGTGCTAATGATGTAATATGATCACGCACTGCCACTATGATTACCTGTATGTAATACCTGCATGTAAGCTCACTTATTGAAAGAAATGAACATTCTTCCAAAAGGCTCCATGGGCCTGTTCTGTTACCTTCATTAACAAGGCTCCACAGCCCTGTTCTGATACCTTCACGACTGCATAGACCTATTTGCTATCTTCATAAACAAGGCTCCACAGTCCTTTTTTCTACTACCTTCATAAACAAGGCTCCACAGGCCTGTTCTGTTACCTTTATAAACACGGCTCCAAAGTCCTCTTCTGTTACCTTCATAAACAAGGTTCCACAGTCCTTTTTTCTAGTACCTTCATAAACAAGGCTCCACAGGCCTGTTCTGTTACCTTCATAAACAAGGCTCCACAGGCCAGTTCTGAAACCTTCATAAACAAGGCTCCACAGGCCTGTTCTGTTACCTTTATAAACAAGATTCCACAGTCCTGTTCTGAAACCTTTATAAACAAGGTTCCACAGTCCTTTTTTCTAGTACCTTCATAAACAAGGCTGAAAAGGCCTGTTCTGTTATCTTTATAAACAAGGTTCCACAGTCCTGTTCTGAAACCTTTATAAACAAGGTTCCACAGTCCTGTTCTGAAACCTTCATAAACAAGGTTCCACAGGCCTGTTCTGAAACCTTCATAAACAAGGTTCCACAGTCCTGTTCTGAAACCTTCATAAACAAGGCTCCACAGGCCTGTTCTGAAACCTTCATAAACAAGGCTCCACAGGCCAGTTCTTTTACCTTTATAAACAAGGCTCCACAGGCCAGTTCTGAAACCTTCATAAACAAGGCTCCACAGGCCTGTTCTGAAACCTTCATAAACAAGGCTGAACAGGCCTGTTCTGTTATCTTTATAAACAAGGTTCCACAGTCCTGTTCTGAAACCTTTATAAACAAGGTTCCACAGTCCTGTTCTGAAACCTTCATAAACAAGGTTCCACAGGTCAGTTCTGTTACCTTTATAAACAAGGCTCCACAGGCCCGTTCTGAAACCTTCATAAACAAGGCTCCACAGGCCTGTTCTGAAACCTTCATAAACAAGGCTGAACAGGCCTGTTCCGTTATCTTTATAAACAAGGTTCCACAGTCCTGTTCTGAAACCTTAATAAACAAGGTTCCAAAGTCCTCTTCTGTTACCTTCATAAACAAGGCTCCACAGTCCTTTTTTCTACTACCTTTATAAACAAGGTTCCACAGGCCAGTTCTGTTACTTTCATAAAAATGAAATTCGCAAGGTAAGAAGGACTCTCCTGATATCTCCTGAGACATAAACTAATAAAAGATATCTCCTTAGATATAGATAGGTTAAAAATATCTCCTCAGATATAAACAGGTTAAAAATATCTCCTCAGACATAAACAGGTTAGAGATATCTTCTTAGACATAAACATGTTAAGATATCTACTTAGAAATAAACAAGTTACAGATATCTCCTGAGATATAACAGGTTAAAGATATCTCCTCTGATATAAACAGGTTAAAGATATCTCCTCAGATATAAACAGGTTAAAGATATCTCCTCAGATATAAACAGGTTAAAGATATCTCCTCAGATATAAACAGGTTAAAGATATCTCCTCTGATATAAACAGGTTAAAGATATCTCCTCAGATATAAACAAGTTACAGATATCTCCTGAGATATAAACAGGTTAAAGATATCTCCTCTGATATAAACAGGTTAAAGATATCTCCTCAGATATAAACAGGTTAAAGATATCTCCTCAGATATAAACAGGTTAAAGATATCTCCTCAGATATAAACAGGTTAAAGATATCTCCTGAGATATAAACAGGTTAAAGATATCTCCTCAGATATAAACAGGTTAAAGATATCTCCTCAGATATAAACAGGTTAAAGATATCTCCTCAGATATAAACAGGTTAAAGATATCTCCTGAGATATAAACAGGTTAAAGATATCTCCTCAGATATAAACAGGTTAAAGATATCTCCTGAGATATAAACAGGTTAAAGATATCTCCTCAGATATAAACAGGTTAAAGATATCTCCTCAGATATAAACAGGTTAAAGATATCTCCTGAGATATAAACAGGTTAAAGATATCTCCTCAGATATAAACAGGTTAAAGATATCTCCTGAGATATAAACAGGTTAAAGATATCTCCTCAGATATAAACAGGTTAAAGATATCTCCTCTGATATAAACAGGTTAATGATATCTCCTCAGATATAAACAAGTTACAGATATCTCCTGAGATATAAACAGGTTAAAGATATCTCCTCTGATATAAACAGGTTAAAGATATCTCCTCAGATATAAACAGGTTAAAGATATCTCCTCAGATATAAACAGGTTAAAGATATCTCCTCAGATATAAACAGGTTAAAGATATCTCCTCTGATATAAACAGGTTAAAGATATCTCCTCTGATATAAACAGGTTAAAGATATCTCCTCTGACATAAACAGGTTAAAGATATCTCCTCTGATATAAACAGGTTAAAGATATCTCCTCTGACATAAACAGGTTAAAGATATCTCCTCTGATATAAACAGGTTAAAGATATCTCCTCTGATATAAACAGGTTAAAGATATCTCCCCTGATATAAACAGGTTAAAGATATCTCCTAAGATATAAACAGGTTAAAGATATCTCCTCTGATATAAACAGGTTAAAGATATCTCCTCAGATATAAACAGGTTAAAGATATCTCCTCTGATATAAACAGGTTAAAGATATCTCCTCAGATATAAACAGGTTAAAGATATCTCCTCTGATATAAAACCCGGTTAAAGATATCTCCTTAGACATAAACATGTTAAGATATCTACTTAGGTATAAACAGGTTAAAGATATCTCCTTAGACATAAACAAGTTAAAGATATATCTTGAGATATATCCAGGTTCAAGATATCTCCTGAGAGATATCCAGGTTAAAGATATCTCTTGAGATATAACCAGGTTAAAGATATCTCCTCAGACATAAACAGGTTAATGATAACTCCTTAGGTATAAACAGGTTAATGATATCCATTTATTGTGAAATATATGAAAATTTACTAAAAAGCAGGTGTTTGACATATCATCCCGATATAGTAAACTAATAAGTAAAGTAAATCATCACCGGAAACGTACCTTCTGTTTTTCTAATCAACAGACTGCCTATTGATTCTATATCTACAGTATGCCTTCTGGCAGCAATTATCGTAAAAAATAGCTTATGTAATTATTGCCAAGACTTCTCGTCAAGCTAGGTCAGAGATTACGAAACAGACAAAAAAATCTGGATTTCTGTTTGCAAGCTTTTTCAAACATTTTGCTTTTTCTATTGTTATATTGTCTTACAATTTTTTATCGTAACTATTCCTGACTAGCAATACAATACATAAGTCTGCCTGCAGATTCAAACACATAGCTGCACTGTTATGTAATGATATATGGAGTTGTATTAGTGTGATATAAACTATCCTTGGAAATAACCTTCATGTACATGTGGAAATGACCTTTTCCTGACTTATCAGTGGACACTGGTGGACATTAAACACTAAGAGACACAAACCCTTTAGTTACATTGGGTTAGATTTGCATCAAATACAAATAGCATTGCTTTGAGTATTGGTTATATTAAAGACTATTATTTGAAAGAAGTTGAAAAAAAAACCTTGATTAATTTTGCAATAGTATTAATACAAACAGTAAAATCGTTCATTTTACAAATAATGAATCCTATTTAATTACAGCAACTGCCTGGAGAATTCCATTCGCTTTAACAACAAATCCATGGACTTGTAGAGGAAATTAAGCAGAAAAAATCAGTTAGGCACTCAATGATTATCTGTGTGAATTTATGTATTTAATCAATCTGCAGCCTCCAGGCTCCACATTTAGAAGGTAGAATGTATCTAAACATCATCTAATGTATGTATAATTGTATAAACAGTTGTAACCAGAATGTATCTACACATCATCTAATGTCTGTAAAATTTTATAAACAGCTGTAACTAGAATGTATCCAAACATCATCTTTTGTCTGTAAAATTTTATAAACAGCTGTAACCAGAATGTATCTAAACATCATCTAATGTCTGTAAAATTTTATAAACAGCTGTAACCAGAATGTATCCA